CAATGACAGGGAGGAAGAAGACCGGACCTGCATTGGCAAAATTGTGGGAGCAAATTATGAGGGAAATTGGGGTGCATCGCATCAATGCAATCTGCACCGACAATGCGGAGGTGAACAAAAGGGCCGCTCAGATCTTGGAGCACCCAACAGACAAGGATATAGCAAGGATCCCATGGGTTCCTTGTGCTGCACATTGCTGCAGCCTTCTTCTACAGGACTTCAGCAAGCTCGACTGGGTTAAGAACACCGTGAAGAGGGGCCACACGATGGTCAAGTTCAGCAGAAATCATCACAGCACACAGAGTCTGATGATGTCCTTGGACGATTTGCTATCTCTGCTTCGGCATACAGAGGTTCGCTTCGGGTCAGTCTACCAAATGTTGGAGAGGATTTACAATAGCAGGGCGTTGTTGAAGGACATTGTTGATGAACGGAATGCAGGAAAGTGGAAGGCGATGCGGTGGTCTACTGCGAAGTTGAAGGCCAGAGCAGATTTGGTGTACTTCACTTTGTGGAATGACAGTTGCACAAGGTGGTTGAGGTGATGGAGCCCATGTCAACCTTTTGAGGTGCATGGATCAGGATGGGACTTCTCCCACAAACCTCATAGAGTACGACGACTCGTAGAGAGGAAGTCAGCGCACATTGTTCTTACGGCGGGGGATCGGGCGAGCATAATGGAGAGAGTTAAAGATCACATCAAGATGATGCTGCAGCCCATCACACATTAGCATTTCTTCTGGACCTATACAGGAGAGAGCCGAGGTGGCTGCACGATCAAGACAACGCGCTTGTGCAGAATGCGATGCGTTTCCTTTCGAGGCAGATCGAAGGTGCTTGGAAAGGGCCGGAACACGTTGACATTTGGGGCGACCTGGCTGAGTTCCACTCCAAGCCCACAAGGAACGGCCCAAAGAGGAAGGACTCACAGATGTGGACCCCACAGCGAAGGCAGATGTTGCACATGGCGGCGATGTGCCCGAATTGCAGAAGATTGTGATCAAGGTTATGGGCATGTGGAGCACCACAACACCGGCGGAGAGGAATTGGGCTTCCATGGACTTTGTCCACTCCAAACGATGGAACAGCTTGGCGCCGGAGAGCTTGCATAAGCTCGTCTACATCCACTGGAACATGCAGCTATTGCGTCTTCCAGAGACTAGGAACGGGGGCTATGTGGATTTGTGGAGTTCGTTCGTCGAGCCCATCCTGGAGCCTGAAGAGCCCCAGGACGAGGCCGAGAAGACCGTGGAGGAGCTTGTGCGGGAAAGGAGGCTCGTGAAGACTCCAAAGGGAGGGATTCCCAAGAATCTCGAGGATGATGAGGAAGAGCTGTGAACCGGACGACTGTGATTTGAATGATGAGCTGTGGAAGATGGAGTGTTGAGCATCAAACGACTCAAGTGCCAGCGAAGAGGAGGCTGATGTTGACTCCGATTTTGAGCTGCAACCAGATCCTGCAGTCCTGGGCACAACGTATGTAGGCAGGATGTGAACCGGACGACAGCATAGAGAGGAGTCACGCCCGGCAGCAACACCGGCCACGGTAGGGGATACGATCTGCAGCTCGACGTCAACTTTGCACACGCTGATACGGACCTTGAGATGTTGCTGCAAACCGGGGTTGACGAAGATGAAGAGGATGCCAACCGTGCCAAGGCTATGGCTGACAGGGACAGCAAGCTAGTCCAAAAACGTATGATGGAGGAGGCGGCCTGCTGTGCAGCTATCCCAACCCGCAGAGAGATTGAGAGAGGCCAGAAAAACGCCTTGGAGCATCAACACCATATGGATTGGGCGTGTTGGAGGTCATGGAAGATAGAAGAGGAGGAGCAGCAGCAACCAGAGGAGGGAGAAGAGATGGAGCAGCAAAAAGAGGGGGAAGACGTGGTGCAACGAGGAGGGAGAGGACATGGAGCAGCAAGAAGAGGGTGAAGACGTGGTGCAACCGCATGATGAAGAGGAGATGGAGCAGCAAGAAGAGGAGGAAGGGATGGTGCAGCAGGAGGTGCAGCAGGAGTTGCAGCATGACGTGGTTGAAAAGGTCCACGAAGACAAGCCCCAGTCCACAGCAACAGCTGTGTACACACGCAGGCCACGACCAGCGGACTCTCCGGCGTCCGCGGATAAGACACCGAAATTCCCTGAGATAAACGAAGCTGTCCAACATGACAAACTGTGGGTGAGCAGGGTGGACAGGAGGAGAAAGGAGCCATCACAGGACGCCCCTGCACAGCCCAAATGTGCTCGTGGCAGGCCTCGAAAGAACAAGACTGAAGGGCTCGCTGCACCGCCTCAGGAAAAAAAAAAACAGCGCCGCAGGCGCAAGACGGTGGTGGAGGATGACCCAGATCTGGATGACGGCAGCAAACAGCTATCTGCGGAGGAGGGCTGCGACGCTGATTCCAAACGAGATCAGCATCTCTTAAGTGTGTGTGTGTGTGTGTGTGTGTGTGTGTGTGTGTGTGTGTGTGTGTGTGTGTGTGTGTGTGTGTGTGCATATGTGTGTGTGCGTGTGTCTGTGTGCGTGGGCATGTATGTGTGTGTGTGTGTGTGTGTATCTGTATGTGTGTGTATTCGTGGCTAGTACCATGTAAGAGAGAGAGAGAGAGAGAGAGAGAGAGAGAGAGAGAGAGAGAGAGAGAGAGAGAGAGAGAGAG